TGTAGCTTAGATTAAATATTCATAATAGAGCCATACAAATGAATATATATAGTTGAAGCATAAAAAGTGCCAATTTGGAATATTAATTATTTGTAATACAGTGTAAGAGAAAAGAATGTATTTATTAGATCGCTATCTTAATTTTGCCTAAAATTCTGTTTTTTGAAGCGGTAGTGTTTTTTAAATAATTCCTTGTGCCTATTATATATATTGTATACTATGTCATAGTTAAAAGTAGGATAATGGCTCTTAAAAAGATTTTAGGAAAGGTTGAATGAAGTGCCATGTCAAACAATTAGCAAAATGTTGAACAATGCCTTAATGACCTTAAAGAAACAAGGTGCTTCCAGGATAAAATGGAACTAGGGGAATTTGCAACCACCAATTCACCTCTACAGAGAATACTGCAGGATATTCTAAAAAAGAAAAATACCAAGATTCCAGAAACAGTGGCAGAGAGGCCACAATGAATAGAGCAAAAAGCAAAATGAGGAAGACAAACTGACAATTAACAACAGAAAAAGAGCTCAACAGAAATGAGGCAGAGAAGGTTGGATAGTAGGAACAGCTATTTTGGAGAAAACAAGACATCATAATAGTGAGTGCTGATTTAGTATCGTCTTGTTTTGAAGTCCCATCAAGCTTTTATTCTTCTGTATCCATTGGTCTTAACAGGTTGTATCTTATTGGATTTTATTATATGTGATAATATAAACAAAAACTTTTATAGACAAGGAGACTATACAGGAACCATTGTTCATTTTCTGATAGTTGGTTCTAAATACCCTGTAATACTGTCATTCTCTCATATGGTTTTACGTTGTCTTGATATGTTTGGTGCTACAGTATACCAAGTTATACTCAAAGATTTCAAAAAAGAGACACTATGGTAACTACTTTTATGTCAGGATATCTTGTGGTGAAACACTATTTTGCTTAAATGGTTGTTTTGACCTGTGCTGTTTTGTTGTTATGCCCTCTTTTATCGCAATCTCCTTTTTTAAATTATTTATTTTTTATTTTTATCTTTTTTAATTAAGGGAAAAATAAAAACAGCAGGATATATTATAGTAACCCACTTTGATTTCCTATTAACTTGATTTGAAACCCTGTATTGCTTTCACCATCTTGTTTTGAGTGATTTTCCCCTATTCTGCTTTGCTTGATAGTATCAAGTTCAAAAGTATAGGCAACAACTGTGAAGACAATAAGATTCATTATGACACTCATTCTGGTTGACTATTCTTTTGAAGTCCTGTAATGTCACCAATATTTTGGTTTTATTCTTTACTGTTCTGTTCAATTTTATTATAACTGATGATGTAGGCAATTCTTTTTAAGATAGCAAGAGGCAGTATGATAACCATTGTTGATCACCTTGTATTTTGTTTTTACATTATGTATTATGTTCGTCCTTTTGATTTGACTGACTCTATTCTGTTATGTCACATTTGGTTTTACTCTCTTCAAAAAAAAGTAATAAGAACTGTGGGAATAATAAAAACCAAAATGTGTAATTGTCATTGTACAAAAGAAAAGAAAAGAAAGTGCTCTAAAGGATATAACTGCATATATAGTTAAGTGTAAAAGATAGATAACCATATTACTGAGTTTTGTTGGATCATTGAACAGAACTGTTTGCAGTCTCACTGTTTGAAAGTCCACTTTATATTCTTTAATTTTGTAACTTGAACAACTATTTCTAAGATGACAATATGCAATCTATTAACTAATGATTTCCTACTGTTTATTTTTTCTGAAATTCTGTATAACTTGTACCCTTTTTCTGTTTTTTTTTTCTTTTTCTCCTTAAATAAAAATTAAAAAAAAAAGAATTTTATACTTCTTCCTGTCTTTATGTTACAGTTGGGAATCACTTTCCGTAGCATCTTTCTCTATTTTGATAAGTGAGGAGTGTGGTGATGAATGTATGGGTTCTGACAGACTGGCCGGAATCAAACATACGGTGTCAATCATACCAGATCTTCTATGTAACATCAATTTCATTGAGCCTCGATTTTCTATATCTGGGCAATCAAGGGAGAGATTTTGTTTATGTTGTAAACTTTATGTGGAGGTGATTCAGACAAAATTCTTAGCAAGGATACCTGGCACAGAATAAGATTCAGTAATGTCTGTTTTTTGGTTACCAACCAGGTAAATGTCCTACTGCTGGTTACTAGTCGTGAAAACTATTGAGTAAGAGGTATAGTTTAGGATTATTGGTTATGTGCTGTGCATTAGCCCAATTACATTTTAGTACATTATCTTATTTAATATTCATAAGTTAGGAGTTAGTTACTAATGATAACCAATTTAAAAGTCTAGAAATGAAGGCATAGACTTCACAGAGCCCAGAGACAAAAATAGAAGAATATAGATAGAAATATTTTGATTCCTGCCAATGTCCAATGTTCTGTGTATTAGTTTTATAATGATTACTAAATTTTCCCCTGTACCTTTAAAAAATAAGTGGCAAAAATGAAAAAATTAAACATTGATTCTTTTTATTGACCAATGAGGCCATTTATTTTTGCAACAAGACATAGATGTTTTTGTTTTATCCTCTTCCTGTTGGTTAATGTTCCTTTTTTAAATGAGCATTACCAGTGAGATAATTATCAGTGTAGTCTATGGTCACTAGAATTTGAGCCACTCTGTTAAGACAATCATTCTTTTGGACAGACATTAGTTTAGAATTAAAATATAATGCAGGTCAATCCAGACAGTGTAGATGTTTTGCAGTGTTAAATCCACTACATGTGATCTAAGAAGCAATTTGTTTAGATTTAACTGTATTTACTCTTTAGTAGAAGAGTGCTTTGGGGGTTTGTAAGTAACTCAGTGAAAAAATCAATGGAGCTGGTTGCTTACTATTGTGTCAGTAAATAATCAGCTGATTAAAAAACCTTTCAATCTATTATTCTACTACATCAACTATATATATGTATATATATATATATATGTATATATATTCTTTGAAAGGGGTACTTTATGCAGTTCAAAGTACATAAACAATTTCAGGAGGCATGCATGTGTGCGTGTATGTTTTGGAGGGAGGTTATATTAGAACTGTGTTCATTTAAAATTTCTACAGTCAGCATTTTCAAAGTTATATTTCATGAGAGTTTATAGAGATTCTTGAAATCACTGCCAGTAAAGTAAACAGAATATCAATCACTCTATAACCCCAAATCACACAAGTCCTGTAAGAGAGAATACTACAGACTTGTACATTTTGTTTTTAAATCTGCTTTAAATTATATAGGTTAGAGTCAAATATTGTCATGAATATTATTGCAGCAAGACTATATTAGTAATCACTTTCACTTTCAAAGATCAAAAGACTAGTATAGAATCCATAGGAACTGAGAGTGTAGAGCAGGATAACTATTCTAATGTCCGGATTACTTCTAGCATTTAGCTGTGTAAAATGCTTTTAGTCTGCTAGATCTGTCTACTGTCTTTACCAGTGGACTGGGTCATGTGAAACACATTCTTGAGACTGTTTAACTTTAGTCTGAGACTGGATTTTTCTGGCCATCAATACCCATTTTATAGTTGCAGCCACTGTTCAGTGATGCACACCAATGGAATACATGCAGTTCTAAATCCATACCCCATTTCTACACAATGAAAAGGTTCATAACATGATACATTGGCGTACATCTTATTTATGATCCTAGATATATACTGCTTGGTTATGTTTTGGGTCTAGATGTCCCCTCAAGTCTCATGTAGTCATAGGTGGGGCTTGTTGAGAGGTGACTGGATCTAGAATGTGTATTATTATGGGATCACTAGTATTACTATATCAGTCCAATGACTGATTTAACATCACCCTATTCTTGGCAGTCTAGTAACAATAAAAAGTGGGCAGAAAGATGCTGTTAAGACTCCTTGTTGCTTTGCTAAATTTTGTCTGTCGTTAGCTATTGCCTCTTTGCCACTGCCACCATGCCTTGGATCCAGCTGATGGTGGACTGAAACCTCCATAAACTCCAAGCTGAATAAGCCTTTTTTCCTTTAACTTTAGATGTCAGCTATTTTGACTATGACAGGCATAGTCTTTGATATGTTCTTAATCTATTTCATAGATATAAATCATTGAGAATATTTACTTTTATTGTTAGTCTTACCAAGTATTTTGCTTATGTAAAATTATTTCACTGAATTTATAAGAGAACAATATATGGTTAGTTATGTTGTGAGAGTCGACCCCCCTGCTACAACCCCCTCCCCAGAGCGGGGAATGAAAGGGCTAACTCCCTAACTCCCCAGAGCGGGGGAATGAAAGGGTTAACTCCCTAACTCCCCAGAGCGGGGAATGAAAGGGCTAACTCCCTAACTCCCCAGAGCGGGGGAATGAAAGGGTTAACTCCCTAACTCCCCAGAGCGGGGAATGAAAGGGCTAACTCTCTGACTCCCCAGAGCTATCAGAACAGAGCAGTAAAGAATGCTTCACTCCCTAAACCTTTCCCAGGAGATAATCAGAGCAGGGCCAAAGGGAATGTCTCTGCTAGTCATTAACCACCAGATGTTCTGTTCTCTGTAAAGATAGAGATAAGCAAAAGAATGTACTGTATAAACAGGACCAGGGGGCACCTGGCACTCTAAGGTCAACCCAAGACCCTCGGTCTCCATAGTTACTCAGCCCCAGACCCTCAAATCAGCATTAGCCAGGTCCTGCGCCGCTCAGAATTAACCAATGCGATTTGCTTCTGTAAACTTGCTTGCCTCCTGCGTGTATCTTTAAAAACCCTACACAAATTCCCCTCGGGGCCCCTCCGCACACGTTTGCCTGAGGGACCCCATGCGCATGGAAATAAACTTTCTTTTCCTCACCAAGAGTTGAGTCCTTGGGGTCTCTTTCCCTGCGGCGTTGGCCCTAACATCGTGGAGGCTCCAGCGAGATTAGCACGTCTCACGGGAGGTGACCCCAACAGCTCTACGGGTGAGTACGACTGGTCGCTTTTCATACCACCGGTGTTTATGCCCCGAGCCATACGGCTCCGATCTAGGGGCAATTTTTGTTATCTGTTTCGTACTCTGTTCCCTGGTGACTGGGGGACGCCCCACACGGTTTCCGTGGTTCACCGTCTGCGATAGGGTCTCCCTATCGATCTGGGGGATTTCGATTCCCAATCTGTGGTCCGTCTGGGCCAATCTGGAGACACCCTTTGAGGTGACTCATCTGGGGGATTTCGATTCCCAGTCTGTGGTCCGCCCGGGCCAATCTGGAGACACCCTGTAAGGTGTCTCATTTGGAGTGAAACTGATGCGTATGCATGTGAATGAAGTGGCCGGCCTGATTGTTTTGTGTGTCGTGGGTGCTGTGTTAGGTTATTTGTTGTACCGCGCTTGCGTTAACCGCCCTGTGACAATAGAACGTCATGGGACAGTCGACCTCATCCCCATTGTCCCTCACCCTCGACCATTGGTCGGAGGTGCGGAAGAGGGCTCACGATCTCTCCTTGCAGGTCAAGAAGAGTAAGTGGCAGGATTTCTGCTCGACTGAGTGGCCTGCTTTCTCTGTGGGGTGGCCACCAGAGGGGACTTTTCATCTGCCCCTCATTCTAGCAGTTAAGGACGTCATCTTCCGCCCCGGACAAAGGGGGCACCCTGATCAAGTCGCTTACATCCTGGTATGGCAGGACCTCAGGGAGGAACCCCCATTATGGGTAAAATCCTTTCTTCCCCCTTCTGACTCATCTGTACCAAAGCTTTTAGCTCTGAAAGGACCTCCCACTTCGGCTCCGGTCCTGCCCGAGTCTCAGCCTGATCTACCCTTACTCGACTATGACCAGCCTCCTCCTTCCCAGCCGACTCAACCTCCTCCGTACCCACTCTCTCCTCCAGCCTCCTCGTCCGAATCGAGTGCTGCTTCTCCGTCAGCCCCCTCTTCACCTGAGCTAAATTCCTCTTCTCCTCCGGTACCCACGTCCCCTCTATATCCCCCACTCCCTGCGATGGCTTGCCCCGAGCCCACACCTCCGGGGCCCACGGGCCCAGCCCAGAACACTCGGAGCAAGCTACGGCTTGAGGATCCAGTCGTTGCCCTCCCTCTCCGTCCCTATGGGCCCATGATAGACGATGGGACAGATGGAGGGCAGATGCCCGCTTTACAGTACTGGCCTTTTTCTACCTCAGATCTCTATAACTGGAAAAACAATAACCCTCCTTTTTCTGATGATCCTTCTAAGCTAACAGGTCTAATGGATTCTGTTATGTTCTCCCACCAACCCACATGGGACGACTGTCAACAGCTCCTAGGGGTCCTGTTCACCACCGAGGAAAGAGACCGCATCCTCCTGGAAGCCCGGAAAGCTGTTCCCGGAGAGGATGGCAGACCCACCCAGAGACCAGACCGGATCGATGACTTCTTCCCCTTAAAGCGCCCCAACTGGGACCCCAACTCACCTGCTGGTAGGCAGCATCTTTCTATCTATCGCCAGACTCTAATGGCAGGTCTCCGGGCGGCCGCAAGGCGCCCCACTAATCTGGCCAAGGTAAGAGAAGTTACCCAAGGACCTACTGAGACTCCCTCAGTTTTTCTAGAACGCCTGATGGAAGCTTACCGGCGATATACGCCTTTTAACCCTGAGGAGGAAGGCCAAAAAGGCTCGATAGCTATGGCCTTTATAGGACAATCGGCCCCTGATATAAGACGTAAGCTCCAAAGGCTAGATGGTCTCCAAGACCTGACTCTGAGGGATCTTGTTAAGGAAGCTGAAAAGGTCTACTATAAGCGGGAGACAGAGGAAGAGAAAGAGTTAGCTAGGGACAAAAGACGAAACAAGGAATTAACTAAGATGTTGGCCACAGTTATTCAGGGAAAACCTGAGCCAGGAAAGGGAAAGCCCACTCGCCCTCCATTAGACCCTGATCAATGTGCATATTGTAAGGAAAAAGGACACCTGATCAAAGACTGTGAAAAGTTAAAAAAGAAACGGGCCAAAGAAGAACGAGAAAGACAGTCCTCACAGCGATCCCGAGCCCCCATGCTCACCCTAGATGAAGAAGACTAGGGACTTCGGGGCTCGGATCCCCTCCCCGAGCTCAGGGTAATGTTTAAAGTGGAGGGGACTCCCGTGGAATTCGAGGTCGATACGGGAGCTGTTTATTCGGCCTTACAAGCCCCCTTAGGGGCCCTTTCAACTAAGAAATCATTAGTTCAAGGGGCTAACGGGAGCAAATATCGCTCGTGGACCACTGAGCGCACAGTTGACTTAGGCAAGGGAAAAGTAAAACACTCCTTTCTGGTTATTCCCGAATGTCCTGCTCCCCTCCTGGGACGGGACTTATTAACCAAACTGGGGGCAAAGATTTCCTTTGAGCCCCAAGGACCTCAAGTGACATTCCGTAACCCAAAGGTTGGGCAACCTATGGTTACGGTGTTATCCCTAAAACTGGAAGATGAATATAGGCTCTACGACCACCAGGATCCCCAGCCTATCGCCCCAGCCTGGTTAACTGATTTTAAAGAATCCTGGGCCGAGACGGCTGGACTCGGGCTGGCAAGCCAGCAACCGCCTGTAGTGGTTACTTTAAAAACCACTGCCTCCCCTATTCGGGTCAAGCAATATCCCATTAATAGAGAAGCTCACCTAGGGATTAAGGTGCACATACAGAGACTTTTAGACCAAGGGGTATTAACTCCTTGTCGGTCTGCATGGAATACTCCGTTACTCCCGGTCAAAAAGCCCGGGACGAATGACTACAGACCGGTACAGGACCTAAGGGAGGTCAATAGCAGGGTAGAAGACATTCACCCCACCGTACCCAATCCCTATAATCTCCTCAGCGGGTTAAATCCGTCAAGGACTTGGTATACTGTTCTGGATTTAAAGGATGCCTTTTTCTGTTTGCCTTTACACAAAGATAGCCAGCCCTTATTTGCATTTGAATGGACGGACCCTGAGACTGGGTCCGCCGGACAACTAACCTGGACGCGCCTCCCACAGGGCTTCAAAAACAGCCCAACCATCTTTGATGAAGCCCTACATAAGGATTTAGCCCCCTTTCGGGCTCAACACCCAAGCCTCACCCTTCTTCAATATGTAGATGACTTGCTGCTGGCTGCGGACTCTGAGGGTGACTGCACAAGCGGAACTCAGGACCTTTTACGTGAGTTGGCTATCCTGGGGTATAGGGCATCAGCAAAAAAGGCTCAAATTTGTAAGCGAGAGGTAATTTTTCTGGGCTACTCCTTAAAAGGGGGACAAAGGTGGCTCACTGAGGCCAGAAAACAGACTGTGGTCCAGATTCCCCCTCCAAAGAGTCAAAAACAATTACGAGAGTTCCTGGGCACTGCGGGGTTCTGCCGGTTATGGATCCCCGGATTCGCAACTTTGGCAGCTCCCCTATATCCGTTACTGAAGGGGGGATCTCCCTTTATCTGGAAAAAAGATCACCAGCAGGCCTTTGATGCCATCAAGCGGGCTCTCCTGTCCGCTCCGGCCCTGGCTCTTCCTAATGTGGATAAGCCCTTTACTCTCTTCATGGAAGAAAAAAAAGGAATGGCGAGAGGAGTGCTGACCCAGGCCTTTGGGCCATGGAGGCGTCCGGTGGCTTACCTCTCAAAAAGACTGGACACTGTGGCAAGCGGGTGGCCACCCTGCCTAAAGGCCATCGCAGCAGCTGCCTTGCTCATTAAAGACGCTGACAAATTGACTTTGGGACAGAAAATAACAATCATTGCCCCGCACACGCTAGAAAGCATCATCCGCCAGCCTCCAGACAGATGGCTCTCAAATGCCAGAGTTACTCATTATCAGAGCCTCTTGCTCAACAAGGACAAGATAACTTTTGGACCCCCGGTGACTCTCAACCCGGCGACTCTGCTGCCGGAAGAAGCTTCGGAACCCGTCCTCCATACCTGCCAGGACGTCTTGGCAGAAGAGGCCGGAGTACGACCGGACTTATTGGATTGCCCCCTACCCAATGCAGAGGTGACCTACTTCACTGACGGGAGTAGCTTTTTGATTCAAGGTAAGCGGTATGCGGGGGCGGCTGTGACTGATTATTCCAATGTTATATGGACAGCCAGACTAGAGGACGGGTCCTCGGCCCAAAAGGCCGAACTGATTGCTTTGACTAAGGCTCTGGAGCTCGCTAAAGGAAAGCGAGCGAACATTTACACGGATAGCCGATATGCTTTTGCAACGGCCCACATCCACGGGGCCATATACCGCCAGCGGGGGCTTCTGACCTCCGCAGGAAAAGAAATAAAACACAAACAGGAAATCCTCCAGTTGCTCGCTGCAGTTATGTTGCCCCGGAAGGTGGCGATAATACACTGTAACAGCCACCAGAAAGGGACTGATCCCGTCACAAGGGGAAACAACCTGGCCGATCAGGCAGCAAAATCTGCAGCCTTGGGAGACTCACAGATGTTGGTGACTGATGTCAAAGATTCTCCTCAAAAGGAGAAAGCTCAGATTAACCAAATCCCTGAAACACCTGATTTGACTGCTTACATACAACAGGCCCACCGGCTCACTCATTTGGGAGCTAAAAAGCTAAGCCTACTGGCCCAACGCCAAGACTTCCCAGGGGCATCCCCCACTGCCATACGTCAGGTCGCCAATCGGGTGGTGGCTAATTGTGAGGCATGTCAATTGACCAATGCCTACCCTGCCAAGCTGGCCCCCGGCAAAAGGCTACACGGCACCAGACCTGGACAATACTGGGAAGTGGACTTTACAGAAGTTAAGCCTGCCCGATGCGGACTAAAATATCTGCTAGTTTTTGTAGATACCTTTTCTGGATGGACTGAGGCTTTTCCTACCAAAAAGGAAACCGCTGCCGTGGTAACTAAAAAATTGATGGAAGAAATATTTCCCCGGTTCGGATTGCCAAAGGTAATAGGGTCTGATAATGGACCGGCGTTTGTGGCTAAGGTAAGTCAGGGACTGGCCAACATATTGGGGATTGATTGGAAATTACATTGTGCTTATAGACCCCAAAGTTCAGGACAGGTAGAGAGAATGAATAGAACCATTAAGGAGACCCTCACTAAATTGGCTCATGAGACTGGCTTAAAAGATTGGACGATGCTCCTGCCGTATGCCCTTTTTCGCGCGCGAAACACCCCGTCTACCAAACCCCCTAACCTTACTCCCTTCGAAATCCTCTTTGGCACTCCACCCCCCATTCGAGATCTCACTCCCTTAACTGAGCATGCTGCCTTGTTGCCAACCTCCCTGTCTGACAGGCTCATCGCCCTTGACAACCTGCAGAGGGACGTGTGGACGCAGCTAGCCTCGGCCTATGCTCCCAGTGAGTTCCCCGCGCCACATCCGTACCAGGTGGGAGACTTTGTGTTCGTCCGGCGCCACCAACAAGAGACTCTACAGCCTCGCTGGAAAGGACCATACCAGGTCCTATTGACTACTCCTACAGCGGTAAAGGTTGACGGAGTCGCCTCTTGGATCCACGCGTCACACCTAAAGCCTGCCTCGGCACCAGTGGACGGCTCCTGGGAACTCAAACGGTCTGATAACCCCCTGAAGCTAAAGTTGCGCCGAAGGACCCCCTGAGATTATTCAGAGTACTACCCTTATGTGTCCCTCTAAGATGACCCGTATGGGACCCCAGACTTTAACCCTCCGGGCTCTAATGGGATTACTTATATTAATAATCCCCACTGTAGCTAGCCCCCATCGCCCCTGGAAATGGTCGTTAATACGATGGGGGGACTCACGTGTGGGTAGCACCTGGGAAGGATCAGGAAGTCCATGGTTTGCGCCCACACCCTGTTGGTTCTTTCCAGGGCTCCAATGTCCCAAACAAAGTCATTTTTATCTTTGTCCCGCACCAACCGGGAGTAGATCATATTGTAATTCCCCAGGAGAATATTTTTGTGCTTATTGGGGCTGTGAAACCGCTGCAACAGGGTGGCAACCCGCCTTCCCCGATGAACACCTTAAAATGACATGGGGGCCGCCGGGATGCAGCCTAGATAACTACCCACCGGCCGGTCAGAGATCCTGTCAGGTTCTAAATATCACTGTCACCACTCCTGAGGACCCAGGTTGGCTGACAGGACGCACCTGGGGACTTCGAGTCTATAAACCAGGTAAAGACAGGGGAAGCCTTATTCTCATAAAAAAGGTTCCCCTGCAGGCCCCATTTGTGCCCATAGGCCCAAACTTTACTCTAAAGCCAAAATATAATCAGCCTACTATAGATCCTGTTACTACTGTTCAAACAACCATAGTAAGTCCCTCAGCCATAACAGTTTCTCAAGCTCCGCTACTCCAGACAGATCACATACCTGTCCCTCAATATTCACATTCTAACCTACTCAGTTTGATTAAAGGAGCATACATGGCTTTAAATCATACCCGACCTGATCTCCCCCAATCCTGTTGGCTATGTCTAAGTCCTAATCCCCCGTATTATGAGGGAACCGCTCTAAATGACTCTTATACACTAACCCCCAACCCCGGCCAATGCGATTGGAATCAAGTATACCACACTCTCCCCCTTCCTGGCCTCGCTGGTCAAGGAACTTGTATAAGAGCAGTTGATAACTGGCCAACAAGCTTGCGACATCTTTGCCTCACACACACTAATTCCTTTCCCAAAGATCAGTACCTCGTCCCTCCTGCTGGAGCCTTTTGGCTATGTACCAATGGGCTCACTCCTTGTGTCTCCACTAACGTCCTCCTTGCAGACAGCAGCTCCTGCATCCTTATAGACCTTATGCCACGCATTAAATATCTCCCCCCTAACACGCTCCCCCTCATGGGAGGTCGATATAAACGAGAACCTGTCTCCCTGACCCTAGCAGTCCTATTGGAAATAGGTGTGGCGGGGGGAATAGGAACTGGCGCAGCAGCCCTCATTACTGGGCATCAGTCTCGCCAAGAGCTTCTTACAGTAGTAAACCAAGATTTACAGGCCTTAAAAACTTCTATAACTGCGTTACAACAATCTCTCTCGTCTCTATCTGAAATAGTGTTACAGAACAAAAGAGGCTTAGATCTTCTATTTTTAAAAGAAGGCGGTCTCTGCGCTGCACTTAGAGAAGAATGTTGTTTCTACACTGATCATACTGGGATTATAAAAGACGCAATGGAAAAGCTGAGAGAGAAAATCAAATCTCGAGAGCCCCCTTCAAGTGAAGCCAAAATGTTTTCCTTCTGGGAATCAATCCTGCCCTATGTTCTCCCTTTACTGGGACCCCTGGCCGGATTCATTATAGTCATGGCTATAGCCCCTTGCCTCATTAACCGAGTAACCCAATTTGTGAGGGCTCAGATCTCTCAGGTAAAAGTTATGGTGCTACGTCAACAATATGACCCCTTACCTATACAGGACCTTTAGGATTAAAAGTCATTGGGAAAAAAATAAAAGGGGGGAATGTGAGAGTCGACCCCCCTGCTACAACCCCCTCCCCAGAGCGGGGAATGAAAGGGCTAACTCTCTGACTCCCCAGAGCTATCAGAACAGAGCAGTAAAGAATGCTTCACTCCCTAAACCTTTCCCAGGAGATAATCAGAGCAGGGCCAAAGGGAATGTCTCTGCTAGTCATTAACCACCAGATGTTCTGTTCTCTGTAAAGATAGAGATAAGCAAAAGAATGTACTGTATAAACAGGACCAGGGGGCACCTGGCACTCTAAGGTCAACCCAAGACCCTCGGTCTCCATAGTTACTCAGCCCCAGACCCTCAAATCAGCATTAGCCAGGTCCTGCGCCGCTCAGAATTAACCAATGCGATTTGCTTCTGTAAACTTGCTTGCCTCCTGCGTGTATCTTTAAAAACCCTACACAAATTCCCCTCGGGGCCCCTCCGCACACGTTTGCCTGAGGGACCCCATGCGCATGGAAATAAACTTTCTTTTCCTCACCAAGAGTTGAGTCCTTGGGGTCTCTTTCCCTGCGGCGTTGGCCCTAACAATGTAGAGCTTATGAGCTCTCTGTTGAACTTTAATTTGAAAGAAAATAGCTACACAAGTCTTGCCAGTTGTCAAAGTGCCATTATTGGCATTCTTTTTTTTGGACCAGGGATGGAACTCAGGATGTTGCGCTTGCCAGGCAAGCAATTATGCTGCTGAACTAAATCCCCAGCCCTTGGCATTCTTATAAACCAAACTTGATGACCTATTTCTTGTTTTGTTTTGCTTACTGAGATTTTATGAAAGCCATAATATGAATCATTTATCCAAAAACATATTATGTTACAGACTAATGATTAAACAGGGAAGATACAGCAATGAGTAAGATGAGGTCCTCACAACTGCGGGACTCCCTTATTCATGAAGAAAGAAGACACTTGGCAAATGACATTTATGTTCCTTTAGGTCCCTTGTATGAAGCAGTTAGCTCACTGTTTTTCCGCACACCTGGTGGGAATTTCAGCTGTGTTTAATGACTTTATCTTGGAGTTTCCTTTCAGTGTACCTAAAAGATGTTAAAGAATTTAACCTTACATTTTTGCAAACTAGTTGGCAGCACACTGATATCCTCATGGAAAGGGACCCGGGATACATCATCTAGCTACAGTATCATGAGAACACAGCTGTTTAACTGGTTGCTATACTAAATTGCATAAAACTTTCTGAGTAATTAACTGAATTTTTCCAAAATTCGAAAGTGACTATGACAAAGTCATGGCTTTCAAAAAGTTGACAGAGAATTCAGGAAAACTGCCTTAGAACATAATGGTAATTAATTTCAGTTAATTAGTTCTGAACTATGGGCTACTTGACCCATGTAATATTTGAATAAGTCATACAATAAAATGATTTATTGGTTATATAAAGAGTAGTATTAGTTAACTTTTCCCATCTTGTATTATTGCTGTCCAGCAGGTGATAAAATTTCAATTAATATTTTACACATGGTTAAGTTTACTTTCTTAACCAAACAAAAGCAAAGGTACTGTACACTTGTACTTCTTCAGGGCTTTAAGGGTTGGCAGATTACAACTTCACAACAATGTAAATGTTGTTAATTGTGTTAGAATCGAACACTAAGCATATTAAGAATTTGAACTCCAAAATGATCTGTGAAAATGGAAAGGGAACCTGAGATAAAGGGGAGAAGGAAACGGGGGAGTGGAAAGGGAAACAAAAGTGATTAATATGCAAAATGTGTATGTACCAATCCGCCAAGATAAACGTAGTTATTCTGTATCACAGATCTTTACTAAAAAAAAAGGTGATTTTTACAACTTTTAAATTGTCATTTTCAATGTAATTATTTATAAGAAACATCACAAGGGTTATGAGTAGAGTGAAAATTTATGTAATGAAAACATAAAATTGCGTGAGACAGATAATAATATAGAAATAAAGCACAAATAGCCAGGTCCAGGATAAAATTTAAATACTGCAGTGGAATAGCAAAATTCTTCACAAAAGCTTTGACCTGAGCCTGGATATATTTATAAGGGCAATTATAGATTTCCTTAAACGAAATGTTTTATATGACTAGAGCAGAGGTTAATTTTTTTAAACATTTACAAATTTCTGGTAGAACACCCTTCAGTGAAATATTAATGAAAGACCAAGCCAAAACATGCTCTCCATTCCAGATAATAGTAATATCCTTTATTGAAACTCTCATAGTGGAGACATTAGGGTCTCAATCCTACAAACTGCTCTCATTACTTATCTAAGTGAACAAAAATGTATGTATTGGAATTTAAATGATTACCAGCATTTTGCAAATATCTCAGGTTGTATCATGAATTTTTCTCTGGAAGTGATAAAATTCCATTGCATTATGTTGAACTGGAAGCAAGCACTGAGGTTTTCTTTAGTAGCAGGTCACTGAAAACTTGGGAATGAAGAAAAAGGCTCTGCATAAGCCCATGTTTTAAAAATACTCCACAACCAGAACTTCAACTAAACATAGTCTCTGTATTCTATTTGCAGGACAGAATGGTCACATATTATGAATTTAGAACGCAAATCAGAAGACAAAAATCCTGCTATAAAAATAAGTCCTATTTTCAGTGCTAGATCTTAAATATAAAATCAGTTGTTCTAACATTTGCTTTTTAAAGATATTTTAGATATTTTTAAACCATCATCCTAATATGAATGACTGAACAATGTCTTGCAAATATTCCACCTTTCATTAGTAGACACTTTAAATCATGGCTAACAGAGTACTTCTGTACTGCGATGAATAAAATCAGAAGACCTTTGTTTCAGGAACTTCAATATATTAATTATAATTCAGACCAAGTAAAAATTTGTGGGTATTAATTGAACATCTAAGTAGTAGGTGTCTGGAAAGATATACAGAAGTATTAGTTTTGCCCTCAAAAAATCACAAATAAGATGTAAGATAATTGAATAATAATTAAACAAAAATAAAAAATAAATAACTTTATAAGTGCTGCAGATAAGAATTAAAGATGCATTAAAGAAGTACATTACCATTACAGTAAATTGTTAGCTCAGACAATTCATCATTGTCTATTTCAGTTGCTAAAATAGATAAATAAAATTGAAATTGGTTCAAGTAAGTCCAGAATGCATATGCTTCTAGTATTGGTAAAACTTTCTTGATTTACTAAGCAGCATAAGCACCTGCCTAGCAAGTGCGAGGTTGTGAGTTTGATCTCTGGTATAAAAATAAATTCACTTTAAAAGTAATGGGAATAAAGGAACGGAAGAAAGAAGAAAGAGAAAAGAAAAGACAAATTTGCATATATATACCTGATAGCTAAAATGAATATACTACTAATTATATTAGTTATTGGAAAAGAAAAATTAATATTCCTATGTTTAGATCAATTTGACCTATCTATATGTATTAATCTAAGCAACCCTCTTGAAGGTAACAATATGCAATATTACAACCATTGTCAAATTCCTATCATCTTGTTTTGTAAACCTATATTGTTATTATATTTGGTTTCTTGTTTGTTTGTATGTATTGCTTTTTGTTTTTCTTTCCTGTGTCTTTTTAATCTTAAAAAAAGAAAAGCATTCTTCTGGTGTACCTCTAAGGGCCTTTGATGTGTGTGACATTGATGTAAATAAGGAAAATCCACACTCAATGTGCCTTGGCACCATCCAGGAGGTCTGGATGAAACTAGAA